TGTATCACGCTATACATGTATCTTATTAAATAATTTCTACAGATGATAAACAAACTTGGTACCTAGCCTTTTATAATGAATTATTGAATCATTGACTAAAGGGACTATACTATCTTATACTGAAAACTGAAATTCTTATAAAATATTTGTATGCCTGTTTCCATTTCAATTATCTATAATGTTTAATATTGACATTGTTCAGAACACCTGGATCGCATCGTTTATGTATGTAATTCAATTATGTAGGTAATAAGTACCTAATATTGTAATAAAAAAATAATTAGACGTTTGGGTTTGAAAGTTATAAAGGTCAGTAGAACTAACCAATGGTTTTTAATTAGACGTATTCATTTTTACTACGATTTTATAAATTTATAATAGTTCAATGATACATAGTCACATAGAAATAAATGCGATTCAATAAATTTGTTCACACATTGTTGACAAATTGTATTTAAGACTATGATTCTAAAATTCTAGATTATAAATAAAACATTTTACAACGTACTATACTGTTAAGACGATGATTTTAGTGTGTTATAATAGTACATTGTACAAATTATACGTGCATTGATTAGGTATGTAAAAATTAGATGTCAATTATTGAACTCCTAAGCAAATTTTAACTAGATAACTTGTATTACACCAAATGCTGTTGTATAAACTCTATACTCTATAGTGTTACATACATACATTCACACTTCAATATTTTATACTAATATTATAATGTATAGGAACTTCATAGTCTATATTAGATATACTATATCAGTATTTCTGAGTCCCGGATCTGTCGTAAATGTAATTTGTAATACATTTTACATATATACTAGGTGTATTGTGTAAATATAGCACAAACGCATTATTATAAAAAGTGAGGCTGTTAAAAAATCTGTATACTTACCGTATATTATAGTAGGTACTCAAATTGAAGGAGTAAACTTCATACTATGATATTATTACGGTCATGTAGAAATTCAAGTCAATGGCCGCAGCGAGTGGGGCGTTATTCGCCGGCCGGCTCATCTAGTGTTGCCAAATATGTCTATTTTTGCATACAATTATTATGGAAATATTATAATATAATATTATGTAGTCATGAGGATAAACCTATCATACTTATTAAAAATATTAAGTTCTAAACTAAAATATAAATATTGTTTATATTTTCGATTTCCATCTCAGAACTAATACTTCCTAAATGACTAATTCCTATTAAAAGATATTTTCGAATATTAGTTGTATCATAATATAAACTTCAGCAGAGCTTTTAGTCACTATCTAAAATATTATATTGACATTTTAGAGGACCCTACACCCTCGTGAATTATTGTCTTCGTCTTACAAACGCATAACATCAAATGTACGTTCTAAATATTCCATTTTGTCCACTTCTGTTAATCCACTCTGTTGTTTAATATGATGTGAAATTATCTACTACCTATACAATTATATATTTTAATTGTAAAGCTAGTTATGATCATTTAAAAATTGTAAATTGTTTGCATATGTTAAAATGTTCATAATTTGTTATAAAACAAAATATATAAAAAAAAAACTATGGAGTTTGTGGGTGTAGCAATTTGTATATCATCCGAGTCAATATTTTTCGCGAACGTCTGGAAAAATTCCACCGAAATCGATTTTATGATCCTAGGGATACTAAAGTTATTTTTTTTTAACGAATATATTAATTATAATCTTTGAACCAAATTAAGTTTTAAATTTAAAAAAAAAGTTGTACCTATTAACGATTGTTTATTTTTAAATACGTATAGTATATATATTTTATGGAAATACTTAGTCTTACTCGTTTTAGGTTTCTCTTGTTCTCTACTAGGTGTGGTCGTGTGGAATATCTTAAATTACTTCTGTATAGTAGTCCATCGCCTGTTTGTTGCAACTTTCGATTATATGAGACATCGTTATTATACACTGCAGTCAATAACCAATATGGCAAGACTATTGTTGATTTATAAACATTGAAGGATTTTTACACAAAACCAGTTTTCGAAAAAATTGATTTTGTTCCTTAGTGTAACTCTAAAAAAATTATCTTAAATCCAGGAATATTTCACTGAATGTTTATTTTAGCAATTTCTTACACCACAAACATTTTTGAAATTTCGTGACTTTTTTAGAGCTATTTTTACACATAAGAAAATTTCGACTTTTATCAGTTTTTTTTTGACTATTGTCGATAAAAATTCTTCGCTCGGTCAGAAAACTTGAAAATATAATATAACGTTCCTCATAAGTTATCTTGTTAGTGGAAATTAAATAAAAGTAGAGCGTTAATCCACAGTAATTTTTTATGAGCCTCTGAAGTTAAAATGTTACCACAATGTATCTAAATCACAAGAATTGACAAATTATTTAGAGTTAGAAATTCATAAAAATGTTTCAATTTATATATAAGCATAGAAAATGTAATATGAGATTCCCCTTATGTTTTCCTACATTTAACAAAAAAGTTTTCTAGAAAGTATAATTAAATTTTTATGAGCTTTTGAAGTTAGACATCAGTATTCATCCATAAATTAACAAATTCTCATACAGATATTTCTTTTTTATTGTTATTCAAAAACTAATAACCGTAGCCTGTTGGTAGGTTCTTGAAATTTTGATCAAATGATTATTTTATCATTTAATTTAATATACATGATACATTTTTAAATATTTGGTTTCGATTTGAGTTATTTATAGACATAGGTAATCAATTTTGAATTTTGAATTATTTTAGTTTTTTTCTTTAAATGTCAATCCAATTTTTTGATTGGTCAAGATGCTTGAAAATGTAATACAAAGTTTCTCATAAGTAGTTTTAATTGTAATTGAGAAATATTGAAGATGTCTTTTAAACAGCAGTTCTCATAAATCGTTCATACATCATACTGTAATAAAAAGAAGGTGGGCAAGTAGATGTCGCTCTGCTGTACAGTAGGTTACAAGTGGGTCACTGCATAATGGATGGTATTAAATTTGAATTCAATGATATAATATCATTGTATAAGATAAACGATTCTGAGCGGAGACGGTATGTCAGTCTAGGTATAAGTCATAATATTATATACTTATCTGTGGTATTAAAAAAAATTGTACCTATAATAAATTCCAAATTAATCATATCACAATATCCATTAGGTACTTATAACGCGTTATACATCAACAACAAAAAGTGATACTATCATAGATTTATAATAGTATACGTTAGAAGTTTCAAGTACCCACGAATAATATTATACAATCACAACAAAATAACCAAAATAGTTATTCTAGGTTTTTTTATTATGTAATTTCGTCTAAATTTGAACTTAAAATGACTATACAAATAAACTGTGCTTATGTTTTTTTTTAGATTTTTGGTAACAGAATTAACTACTTATGTGGAATCTTGTTTTAAATTGTTTAGTCCTTAGATATAATAGTTCAACATTTTATACATTTCTAACTACAAAATAATTATTTAATTTTAAATTTGATACATTTTGTATTTTTAAATGCTTATAAAAAAAAATTGTGCCTAATTATTATCAATATTTTCAACTGCTATTGTAATAATATATCAGGAGCCTTGTATTAAATTTTACAATTTTTTTTCAACAGATAAAACTTTATTGATATTCATAGAAAAAAAAAAAAAAAATTGAAATATGAAATTGTCCGTAAACAGCTCAAAACAAGTCCAAATATTTTGAAAATGTTATCAAGTATAAGAATTGATAAAATAAACATTCAGTGAAAATTTCATTATCCACAGTTATTCATTTTTAAATTACAACAAAATAAAAAAATCGCTGAATGAAAAATCGAGTGATATCCAATGTTGTAAAAATATGAACTTTAAAGGCTCATAACAATTTTATTTGACTTTCTTATAGACATTTTTTTTTTGATAAGGTAGATAATCTTATAAGGAATCTTGTATTACTCGAGTTTTAAATTTTGACCTCCCCAATGCACCAACAAATTCACTTTCCCTTGAAATTGAAAAATCGAAGCATTATTTCGACTACCTACTTATCGTGTACACAGACACAAAAAAAATTTAAAAAAAAAACACACATCATTGTAAAATCAATACATTTATTGTTCCACTCAGAATCTAAAATATATAATTTTACAGACATTTTAAGTTCAAATATGGACGAAATTACATATTAAAATCAAAAATTACGACTTTAGGTATTTTGTTGTAATTTAAAAATATTATTTTTGGGTAATGGAGACTTTTAGTCTGTTCCTACCTATTTAGAGTACATTATTATATTGTATACGTACAGCGGCGTTTATTAAACTGTGGTTCGCGGACTCCTAGTGGTAGCATGTATACACTCTAAGTTATACCAAACAGAACAAAAATATTCGTACTATTTTATAAGTACCAATAAATTCATGCTGCTCATAAGCCATAAGAAATATATAATACATTCTATAGTTGATAGTTTTTATTTATACCTCATTCGAAATAATAAATAAAATATAATACATTTTTGATTTAAAAATGATTTCAATCATTTATTTTTATGTGAATCATCAATTATAGTTTAAAATGTGTTGTACTGTTGTGTTTTATTATAATATTAGAAATCTATTTTAAATTTATATTATTTTATAAAATATAAGAGACAAAACACATTCTATATGTGATAGTTACAGGTTTTAATTTAATTTATAAATTATTTTATTACTTTCGATCCAATAATATGATATATTTATATTTTTTAATTGTATACGAATTCTTGGAAGTTTTTGTAGTCTCCCCGCTATTACGGTAATACCAGAGAGCACCTAAGAAAATATAGCTCATGTTTTTATGCTAATTATAAAAAGAAATGGGAAGTGGCTGGTTCGGATGTTCGGATGAGTCAGTGTAGTCCTGGTGAAAGCATTGATACGACGTCGTTTGGTCAACATGACCGATAGACGTACCCTAGCCGTACTTTTTACTTTGTGTACTTTTGGAGTCCCAAGGATTTAGCTGCATCCAAAAATATCCCAAAATGGAAAAACAGGTAAACATTATTATTATATAATTTAAGAAATTTATAAAATTCTAACTTTTTATAACTATAATAAGTCATAACTCATAACATATCAAATCATAGTTATATTGTTTTGTGTTATTCACTACAAATTAAAAACATAAATCATGGACTAGTGAGTAATGATATCAGTCGTTTGCTTGATTGTTACATTTTTGTAACAGTTTGGTGAGGTGATAATTTCAATATTTTCGTAGGGTTTGTTTTACGAACGAACAATTATATTTTAAATAAAACAATAAGGGTTTAGTGGTTTATACTGACTTTCTAATTATGATTATCATCGGTCACGTTTATGTATACGACACTAGTTAAGTCCGTGATCAGATCTGGTAGCCTAGTGACCCACTATATAAACAAGGATGTGTTAGCCGAAGTGTCGATTTGTGTATCATACAAGTTATACATAGGTATGTTCTAAAACACTCAGGTTATGTGCAACGGTAAAACTGATAGCCTACATACGATAAGCTAACAAAATTATTACAACTTGTAGACTATTCAATATTAAAACATTTTTGTAATTAATTATAACACCATTAAGAGATAACTTCTGTATAATATAGTTTTTGTTAATAATATACTTGCAAAAATGTTTTCAAAAATTATTATATAATATGATAAATTATATTTCCTAAATATGGTACGAAAAATATTAAAGGTTGAATTTTTATCTTAAAACAAATGCTCTAAAAAAAATAATATACTCTTATAGAGGTATGCCGATATTTTTATTAAATGTTTGGAAACTAGAAACTAATAAAATCGTATACCTAAATATTTTTGTCTCAATTACTTATTAGTTATTATAACCAAACAGCTTATATGTGTAGTAGAAACTTGATGGACAACTCTTTTTAAATAATATACTAGTTGAAAATTGAAACCAGTAATCAGTGGAAGAATACTAACATGTACAATTATTTATTATAATATGTGTATATTATACTTTATAAATGCGCGTCTGCGCACCTACGAGTGTTTATATTACAGTTATATCTACTTTGCATAAGTATCATTTATTTACCGTCAATTATAAATATTTTTGAATTCTTTATAAAACAGTTTGGCCTTAAAAAATAAATATTTATTGATTAAACAATTTGATTCACAATTTCTTACAAAAACTATCCTACCCAACTTTTTAATTACATATTTATAACTGATTATCAAAATATTTTTAAATGTATCATTATCAGACCTATTTATTATTATCAATTTACCCCAAATAAATATAAACGCTGACAACTATATATTTTTATTATTAGTTATCTATTTATTCCTTTGTCATTACGGCTTTGGTAACATACATCATAAACTAAGAAGATTTTAACCTTGATATTATTCGATACTCGATAGTGTATGTATTTTATCAATGATCGCTTGTCATTAAAATTGTTATAATTTATAAAAATAATTGATTCTACTGGGTTAAAGTATTTATAGAACATTAGAACTGTATAAGTATACTTTTACTGTCAGACACAGTTCTTGACACCTATAAGACGTTAAACCATCATTGATAGCGAGCTCTGGCGCTGAAGGAAGGAATACAGCTTAGGTGAAATGACTATTTTCTTAGAAATATAAAGCAGTAGTGTAGTCGTTCGTTGGTACTCGGTAGCGATTCTTAAAATTATAATAATATAATAATAACAAATAAGAAATTTAAATTGCAATAAAATACATGACGTGTATTTAATTAGTTATTAACAATTATATTAGTTTTTTTACAATTTGATACTCTATTAACTATAACTATAACTATACTTTCAAGAATAATGTGTTTCGATATATTTTATCGGAGTTGTATTGTTTTACATGACATATGTACTATGTACCTACCTAACTTTCTCAATATAGGCTTGCGAGGCGCCAGCGACACAGAATGAATCAAGTCATTACGTTTGTGATGACAATGGTGATATGAAATGCCTACCGGGGTGGATAGGTGACCTTTGCGATGTGCCAATTTGCAAAAAAGGCTGTGACCCAATTCAAGGTTACTGCAAACGGCCATCCGAATGCCGTTGCAAGTTGGGTGAGTGTCGAGTGACGGATAACGGAAATCATGGTTATGCATAGGAATAGTATATAAAGACCAATCGCTTTGATATTATTCTTTTAGGTTTTTACGGCGAAATGTGCAACAAGTGTATAGCACTACCCGGCTGCCAACACGGTTACTGCAACAATAGTTTCGAATGCAAGTGCTTAGAAGGCTGGGACGGCATTTTCTGTTCAGAACGTAATGATGATTTTTTATTGAAAGTTTTGAAGATTGTGGACGGTGCATTAAAATTATCTAAATAATTTACATGTTTTATTTATGCGCAACTTACTAATAGCGGTATGCCACGAAGACTGTCATCCAAGTAAAGGGTATTGTGACTGGCCAGGAGAATGCAGGCAAGTTTAATTTACCTTGTGTAATTATTTTCGTGTCTATGTGATATCCAATCCATTTATTAACTATTAAATGTATAGATATATATGACTAATTTGTTTAAATTTTAAAGTATATTACTTATAAGTTATAATTTAATTTTGAATGAATTGTTTTTGGTTGAATCAATAAAAATTTAAAAAATAGTGTCTGAAGAAAAATAATTTCCTGTAGCTTAAATGTATTTATTAAGATAATGGGAGAAAAATGAATTTGAAAAGTATAATACATTAATAGGTACTTTTTATGTAATTTGTAAGTTCATGAATTAAAATCTGCTTTTTATGCAATTATAATTTACAATATGTTTATTTAAAAAAATAAAATTATTCAAGTTGCATAATTATAAATATTTTCAAGTTATAACCATACAAATTTTAAATTGTGATATGGAGTTGTATTATAAATAATGTATAATGCTTGCAAGTTAAAATTATTCAAATTTTTGTAATTCTCGAAAATACTCTTACAAAGGTTAGTTGGTTATTTATTTTAATACAAACACGATGCACTAATACATGTTTTTTTATATTATCATGTCTATTGAAATGATACAGATGTCGTCTAGGTTGGACTGGTGATCTCTGCAAAGAATGTCAACCATTACCAGGTTGTATGCATGGGACATGCTCTAAACCATTAGAATGTAAATGTGAAAAGGGATGGCAAGGAATTTTATGTCAGATACGTAAGTAAAATGTGTATAAAATAACAACGGTTTCTTATAAATTAAAGACATTTTGTTACAGCCGTATGCTCTGAAGGTTGTCATCGAGACCGAGGATATTGTCGTAAACCAAATGAATGCAGGTATGTAATATGTATAAATGAGTAATGATCAATGCTAATTACCTAAGCTGCTGTGTACACTAAAAATAAAAACAATAATTCAATGATAATATTAGGTGCAAGGTAGGCTGGTGGGGTAAGAACTGTACTCAATGTTTCGCATACCCAGGCTGTGTTCATGGAACATGTAACCGTCCATGGGAATGTAATTGTAAGCCCGGCTGGGGTGGTATGCTCTGCGATCAAGGTAGATACTTGTAAACACAAATAACAGATAAATTAATTCCATTTTCAGGATTAAGAGTAATTATCTTATATTTGTTTTAGAACTTAAATACTGCGAAACTAACAATGTCACATGCCAAAACGGAGCCACGTGTGTTAGTCTCCCAGAAGAAGATGGAAATTATAGATGTCTTTGCGCTGATGGATACATTGGACGAAATTGTGAAGTAGATAAAAAAAAGGTAATTTATATAGGAAGGAACTAACTTACCGACCTATAGATACATGGTAAAATAAAATGGATAATATATGTATGTAAACATGAGTGGGTTACGTACAATTTTAGGGGGGGGGGGCAAAATTAAAAATGCTCAAAATTTAAACTAGAAAAAGTTTCAATGTTATTTCAACATATAAATGTCAATATATGCTATGATGCTAGGTATAATTCATATTTGTATTGTAAATCGTCGTATATATGACTAAATGCATTTTTATAAGTAGGAACAGAAAAAAAAAAAAGTTAGTAAAATTATCATTCGGCATCGGTAAATAAGATCTGCAAATTATTCGTCGCATTCTAAACATAATATGTTGGATGTCATTACTCATTAATATTGGCATTCTTAATGAAACTATCCTTGTACAAGTTCACCCCTTTATGATAAATATTCATTAAATTATAAGTTCATGTAATTCTTCCAAGGGAGAATTACAAAATAGTTTCCCTTATGTTTTATTGAAAAGTTTAAATGTTAAATTCAATGCTATTTAAGTAAAACAATTACATGTAATTAAAAATATTTCACCTTATAAATTGTTTTATAAATGTTATACCTTATACTATTTTTCTTATAGGTTGAAATCGTCGGGTTAGTACCTCCTAAGCCTAGTTTAATGCTACTTAAGTCAACAACAACTACACCTTCGACAGTGTCCGAAGATTTATTATTAGAAGGCGATGATGAATATGAAGAAGAAACTATAAAACCTAATTCCTCCATAGTTTCGTTGGTCAACGAAAATGAATCCTTAAATGAAACAATTTAATACTGTAAAGACATTTATTAAAGCATTATGTCAAATAATAATTTATTCATCTTAAAATTAGTTTTATAATAATTGTTTTAATTTATTTATTTATTTATCAATTTATTTATTTATTTATTTATTTAATTATTACATTGCATTTGTACTGATTCAACTATTATAAACAATATAATATTTTTATTCATTAGTATAATCTATCTAATTAATTTTGTTAAACAGTTCCCAGTGGTCCCGTACAATTGGTGTTAAATATATGTTAATAGGTATGTTAAAGATGGGTATACGAGTGTGCCAGGTACAATACATTTTTAATTGTACCATCACATATTTGAATCAAACTATATTTGATGATATCATTGTGAATAAATAAATAAATTTATTTATTTACATATTTACGTGGAACCTTGTTTTAAATATTCAATCTTTAGCTATAAAAGTTGAACATTTTATACATTTTTAACTACAAATCATTTTTTAATTTTAAATTTGATACATTTTGTTAAAAAAAATGTGTGCCTATGTATTTTTAACATTTTTCAATTGCTATTGTTACAATATATAAGAAGCTCTGTATTACATTGTCAGGCTTTTTGAACCAACAAAATAAATTGTATATTGACATTTATAGAAACAAAACAAAAAAAAAAAGGCAGGTAAGTGGATGTCGCTCAGCTGTACAGTAGGTTACAAGTTGGTCATTGTTTAATGGATTGTATTAAACTTGAATTCAATGATATAATATCATTGTATAAGAAAAACGATTCTGAACGGAGATTATTTATATAGATAATACCTACCTATTTTTTTAGATTCTGAGCGGAGCAAGGAAGCTAGTGGTTTTACAATGGTGTTTATTTTTTTTTCTTCTTTTTTTTTTTTATATCCTGTATACAAAATTTCTACCAGAAGGAGTGCTTTGATTTCAACATATACAAGATAAGGTTAGGTTAGGTTAGTACTGAAAAATTACGAAAAACCGCTTAAAATGGGATTTTAATTTCTAACAATTTGTTTATCACCGTAGCAACGAATAAAAAAAATAATAATTAAATAAATAAAATAATTAATGACAATATAAAAAAGGCAGGTAAGTGGATGTCGCTCAGCTGTACAGTAGGTTACAAGTTGGTCATTGTTTAATGGATTGTATTAAACTTGAATTCAATGATATAATATCATTGTATAAGAAAAACGATTCTGAACGGAGACGGTTTGTCAGTCTGTATATTTTATATTGTCATTAATTATTTTATTTATTTAATTATTATTTTTTTTATTCGTTGCTACGGTGATAAACAAATTGTTAGAAATTAAAATCCCATTTTAAGCGGTTTTTTCGTAATTTTTCAGTACTTTTTCCCGTGGCATTAAATAACTATTGAGAAAATCGAAAAATGACCTCTTTAAAGTACCATCTTGGTCCAATTTGCTAAAAGATAAGGTACTATATGTTGAAATCAAAGCACTCCTTCTGGTAGAAATTTTGTATACAAGATATAAAAAAAAAAATAAAAAAAATAAAAAAATAAACACCATTGTAAAACCACTAGCTTCCTTGCTCCGCTCAGAATCTAAAATTGAAAACGTCCGTAATCAGCTCAAAATATTTTAAAAACTGCGAATATAAACAACCAATAAAAATTGTATGTATTTAGGTCATTTGTTTTAGAGTTACACTAAAAACCAAAATTGATTTTGTCGAAAACCGATTTTGCGTTATAATTACTGTTTTTCATTAATTTTTGTTTTGTGTTCCCCTCGCTTTTGAAAACTATTGAGAATTTTACATTTGACCTCTTGAATGCCAACTAGATTCACTTCCCCATCGAACAAGATACTGTTGAAAAAAATCAAAGCAGTTTTACTGCCCCAAACGGTGGTGAATGACACACAAATAAAAATAAAAAGGCATATCATAGAAAATCAATATATATAAGAATAAGTTCAATGAGAAATCGAGTGGAAATTTAACATTCTGGTAGACTTTTTTTTTCTTTGAAGGAATCTGAAACATCTATAACTAGTAGTTATTAACTACCCAGTAACGTACCCGGAATTTTGTAAACAGTTTGGATAGTTAATTCTTTGTTTCGAATTTGATGCATCGTAACACACCTTACTTTATTTTTTTTATTTAAAATATAGGTACATTATTGCAAACAAATTAAAAATATAACACTACTGTCACTACTTGACTATATTATAAATAGTACCAACATGTAAATTGTAGGTACCTCATGCATACTATACAGAAAATGTAAATACTATAAAAAAATATACTTATATTTTTACGTTCACTAATATTAACTACCTATAGAATAAACTGATTTATATTTATTTCAGCTGTTTTCTTAATAAACATAATTAAATAAACTTTCTTTTTAAAAATCTCAGTTATGTACTATTAAACTACATATACCAATATGTTTTTAATATTTTACTGTCCCCTCTCCGGGAATCAAATCTTGGGTAGGTATTATTATGTTACATAAATACCTAAACCAGTTTTTGTTAATCTGCATACATAATATATATATTGATGAAATAGTAAACCCCTTACTATTTTTGGATTGCATGAAAACCATTTCTTAGTTCTTAGTTTTAAAAAATTGTGTGCACACGCAGGATGTATTTCATCGACGTACAATGTTCAAATAATGAAGGTTTGAAATCGATATTATATTATCTATCTTTTAATTAAAAAAAAAATACACAACAAATTATGGTTTCTGAAGCCTTATTAGTTATCAGTATTATATTTTTAAAAACTATTTTAAATTACAGCTCTCAGTAAAATGATGTGTGCATATGCAATTGCACTACAAGTGAATTATCATTAATCAAGATTAATTTTAAATATTACAAGTGTGATTTGATTTGGATAAACTAAATTTAAGAATTTGTGCATATTAGTACAGAATTATTATACGAAAGCTGCACAATGGAAAATATTACATCCACCTTAATATTTTTTGTCAACGGCAAAAAGGTACAAATAAATTATTATTTTTTTAATCATAGAAAAAATTATAGAAGATCAATAAAATTTTAATACTTTAATAGTTTAATGTATCATAATTTTGGATTATTCATAGGTAGGTATAGCCTATATTCTATAGATATTAGTAAGTTTTTATGTTTCTATAACATAGTACATATTATAGTATAAGCTAAAGTTAAACTTATGAAATGAAAATCCAAAAATGTATGATTAAAATATCGAATCCAAAAGAATCGAATGTCATAATATAAAGTAGAATATCCAATACGGAAATAATAAAATCATATAAAGATGAATTTGGAATTCTCTTGTATTTAAGTACAAATTTACTACAAGTATAATCATAAAATCTTAAATCATATTACTGACTCATTATATTTTATTCTTACACCCATTTACTATGTGGGGGTGATTCACCAAGCATTGCTCACCCGCATTTTTTCCTTTACAACCTACCTAATAACCTTATTTAAATTTTGATTTTTGAATTTTTAAATGTACTCGAATACTATATTTTCAATTTTTTTTACTTCTTTAGAATGGTCCTGTGGTGATACAAAATTTTATTTTTCAATTGAAACCCTCCTTTTACTGTAAGTTATTTAGTGAATCATTTTTTTGAAAATGTTGCTGTACCTATTTAAAAATTTAAACGAGTAGTTTCTCAGTTATTAAAATGTTTATACTTACTAAGGATAATAGTCCTTAAAAATGGTTACACAAAAATAGTAGATTTAGATCGAATATTGAATCTAGTATTTATTATACTTGGACCATTTTTATTAATAATTTGTTAATTTATTATTAATGTTGATAGTGTAATATTAATCACAAATTAGTAATTACTTCTAAACCAATTATCATAGACCTGTTAATTATTGTCCTTAGTATATTTAGTATACTATACAAAGTTTAATACCTAACTCAAAAAATACTCGTTTGAATTTTGATTCTGATACGTAAACATTTTCAGAAATATTATCCGGTAAATAATTTACCTACTGTAGAAAAGGGAAGCTCTCATTTGAAAAACAGAAGTATGTATCTACATGAGATTTTCATGAGTAGCACTGGGAAATTGGGATTTTCCCTTAAGTCCCTTATCTATATTATACTTACAGGCCTCAAACCCCAAATTTGTTTTAACAACATTGTAATTTCAGTATATTAGTATTGGCTATACAGTTTTCGGGTGTAATTGTATACCTCATTAGAGGCTTCTTATATACTCATCGATACCTGATGGCTGTTTTACATATTACGTATTACCTAGGTACTGGTTAAATTTTATTTTAATTTCGTAACTTACGGACAAGGTGCAACCACACGAAACTATGAAGTTATCCATTAACATGTTTGAGATTTTTTTTTTAGTACCTACGTTGAATTGTGAATATGATTCAGTTAATATATTTTTTTTTTTTTTGGAAGCGGATGACTTATTTTTCGTCTACATTTGATATTTTTCCGTTTGGATTTGATTTCTCCGGATATTTTATACTGGACATTTTTTCTCCGGGTATTTTATAACCAGATATTTTTACCGTTTATCATAACTCATAAGTGTATAACATTATACATTTATACCTATAATTTATTACACTCAATATGGTTAATAATATAATTTGCAATACGTGGATTATAATATCACTTGTACCTACAAAATACATGTTTTTATTTATACCTACGTCCTACCTAGTACCTAGATACCATATCAATACATAGGCGTATCTACGGTGGCAGCCTTGGGTGCCTGCGCTGCCCCTGCAATTTTTGAAAGGTGCCGGTCAACCGAGTTTTAAATCAGAAGGGTCACAACATTTATTTTATTTTTTAAACTTGATTTTTTGTGTTTATTGTTATATTTACCATTTACTTACAAAGATATGTTCAGCAAAGTTAGGTTGATAATATCTTTATTTAACATGTATTGTCAAATTGATTATGCATAACCTAACCTAACCTAACCAGTATATCAAAATTATAGTTATCCCATTTT